GAAGACTGCAGTCGAGCGTAAACTGAACGCAACTCCGTTTCTCTTAATAAAAATATGCATTACTCGGAAATTATTAAAGCTAGAAGGCTGAAATTTTCTATATATATACTTTACGAAGTACTCTACTCCTTACGTTCAGAAAAGGGGAAAAAAGTGCAATGCCCACACAAAGTTCCTAATGATTCAATTTTATTTTTTCACTCTTTTAAGATTTCATGTTTATTTATCATAAGGCAAAGAAGACAGATTGTTTAAAACTATTTTGTATACTCTTCAAACGAAGATATATCATTTGCCTAAAAAGAAATACATTTTAAAATGAAAATGATAGATACCGCGACCTGGTGGATTAAGCTTTTCTTAATAATATCAGCGATATGGGTGTCAAAAAAAGGAACTTGGAGAATGGAGTGCGAAAAGTATAGCGGTGGATATGCGGGATTCGGTCCCCGCTAAGTACAACTTATCGAGTTTCATTATAGATTTATTTAAAAAAAAAAAAAAAAAAAAACTATCCGATTGAACAACCTGCTGTTCTATCTGTTAATATCTATTCTTTATAATTATTTTTTTATTTTTTTCTTATTATTTCATTCTTATTATATTCCAATTGATTTGCCTATGCGCTAATAAGGAGCTCGTCTACATTACCAACAATAAACAAAACATATATAAATGGATTAGATCTGAGAATCGCTATAATTGCACAATAACTTGAAATAAATGTTTAACTTGAGCTACACTCTATAACCCGATAACAGATTCGATATGTATAATATATGTTTTATATTATATCTATACTTAGTTTCACAACGATTTTAAATGACTTTAACATTGAACATGGGGCGATCTCCCAATAACTACGGACTTGCAGTCAAAATTCAAGACGATTTTCATCTCATTAGAGCAAGCTATGAGCAACCATGAGTCTACGGAACTAATGAAACAAAGAAAAATGCATATAAATACATTGCCGAGTTGGGTATTCGTTCAGTAATACAAATTTCAGGAAGAAAAATTAAGAATTTCGAATTTCTAATAGAGTCAGTCATCTCTATGATCACACAAATAAACACACTATAATGGCCCACGGCGTCAGCATCATAAAATACCCTGCATGCCCTGCCACACAGGTATTCACGTGACGGCATTTCAAAATTAGGCATTTTATGTGAAGTGGTCGGGAAAGTACTCCGATCCGAATTGTTTTTGGACCAGAACATGTCAATGTATCAAATTTAGTCAAAACGTATCAAAAAACGCCGACTGAAGATTGAACAAAAGAAAACATGACAACCGGACGGATAGACGGACAAGTAAAAGTTAAATGTGATTTTGAATCGATCGATCTAATAAAAGGTGGGTCTATCTCAAGGCCTTCTGTGTGTTCCATAAACTACACCCTTGCATCGCATATGTTTGTCGGGTATAAAAACATCTAAAAGGATTTTCATGTAACGACAATTAATTGAGTTTTAAGATCTCTCTATATAACCTACAATGATAATGAATTGAATTTAAGTTTTTCCATTAATAAGTAATTGCTAAAGAAGACTCCTGTTGCAATTAACTATCTATAGACCGACCTATCGACAATTATTGTTTCGCTTGTTTATGTATATTCTGAGAATATCACCTTATAAATACAATAAGTACCGTATATTTGAAACTTGTCATCAAAACAAAGCGGAAATCTTTAATTACGAATCACTTAAGGGTTAAATTATTAAGTTTGAATGAAACGTTTCATATTACCCATCCAACCATCATATACTCAAATGGTAATTAACCCTTTAACAGAATATATAAAGTTACCATAGTTATCCAGGAAACCTTTATAAGTTAAGGTTTACGGAACTACTTGAAATAAAATTTTTTTTTTGTTTTTTTTTTTTTTTTATTGACATACAGAAATTATATGTTGAAAAAGTTGAAAAAAACAAAAACAACAAAAAAAAATCAATAAGTATCCACCACAAACATGACAACACAAAAAATAAATAAATAAATAAATAAATTTAAAAAAAAAAAAAAAAAAAAAATTTTAGGTTTGGGGCGCTTTTCACGGGCCTCTGCAAATAATTATATGTATTGTCAGTAGCCACCCTTACGCTTTGGTACTAATGTACTTTAAGCAGCAACAACAAACATAGCAAGTAAGAAGACGATAGAAGAGAAGATATAAAAAATGGGGGAAAAAAAAAGGGAAAGGAACAAAAGAAAAACAATTTGAAAAACTATGACTCACCTGAACGTTTGACAAGCTAACGACCACAATAGTTAGGAAAACGTTTTGCCAAAAACTTAACATTTTTGTGTAAAGTCAAGTAAATATTCAAAAATTCAATTGTCACTCGTTTTGTCTATGATAATAAATTCGTGTTGAAAATTAAAAGTCCTTTGTGTCTTTTCTTTTTTTTTTTTTTTTGTTTTTTTTTTTTGTTTCTTTTTTTGTAAAGCTTGTCTTCGCTTCACTTTATTCTCACCAAGAATTTATTTCTTATTTTTGTTATTATTTTTTTGCATTTTTTACAAAGAGTAAGCGATATGAAGATGTTTTCGGTCTTCTTTCGTTTATTTATATTAATTTTATTTTTTTGAAATATTTTTCCTACAAATTGTTTTTTTTTTTTTTTGTAATGTCTCTAATGTTATATAGAAATGAATGGGGTTTTTTTTTTTCTTCGATGTGTCACACCCCAACAAAGAAAACTAAATTTATATTATATTCTTAATGTCTTTTGTGCTCTCTCGTTCCCCTTTCTTAAACAACACTTGACTCACCCAAGGGAGCCTCGTTTGATTATTTGTTCGAAATATTTTCTTTTGCAATTTATTGGTTTTTTTTTTTCTTCTTTAATACATTAAAATTTTTAATTTTTTCGTTTTTATTTTTTTTGTTTTTTTTTTTTTATTTTTTTTTTTTTTTTGAAAATTTTTATTTATTTTTTTAAATATTTTTTATTCAGAGCTCTATTCTGTTCAGTGTTCTGTTCTGTTCAAGCTTTAATAAGACTTTGCTGTGCGTATATGCGCTTCGATGCGTCTACAACGTCGGTTTGATATATGAAAAAATTTTGCACTCATCATTAACCTTTATGTGCGGCCAATACACACACTTTCACACACATCCATCCATACATACGTAATGAATTCGAACAAAATTTCCTAAAACGTAATTTATACTCGAGAATGAACACACATAGAAGAGATTTGAGTAAAAGAAGAAAAAAAAAAAAAAAAAAACAAAAAACAAAAACAAAACAAGAACAACCCGAAAAGTAAAAAAAAAAAATACAACAACAATACCAAGAAAATTCAATATTAATTCCGAATTGAATGTTTAAGGGTGTAAAAATCTTAAATACAACTCTGTTATATGTAACTTCTCTAACATACTAAAATCCACCAAGAGATTGCAGTGTAACAAAAGATTTAAAAACAAGTATATATTTATTTCTTCATATTGTTTTTTTTTTCTTTTTTTTCACTTGAAAAATCATCTTTTTTTTGCACTTTATCATTCCAAACGAGAGGACAACACAATAGTGGTTGAAAACTTTTGAATTCAAAGTGTACGCTTGCCTTCTTAGTTTCCCTAAATCAATTCAATTCGATTTTCCATAGCTGTGATCATCAAAATGTTGCGATACTTTCATTCAAGTTAACCCAACTAAAATTAAAAATATTAAGCGACAGACAACAAACAATGAATAGGAAAGAATAGATAAAGTAATATGGTAGATCGTTGAAGTATAACAATAAAACTTACTAGTCTACTAATTAACTTAATCAAAATAAATATATATTAGCAGATAGCGAATCATCTAGAAAGCAGATAACGGATAAAAAAATGGCTAAGCTGAGTAATATTGTTTTCAAATGCAAATTAAATTCATTATGGGCAATAAATGAGCCAATCACGATAGTAAAATAATAATAAAGTAAGTACTTGAGATATAAATCATAATTATGGTGTAAGGCTTAAAGAGAAGAAAACATATTTCAAAACATAAAACGGATAACGGATAACGGACAAATGTTAGCCGCTATATAAGAATTTAAATCGTTTTAAGAAACGATCCTATGGCCAAACGTTTGCCGCCCTCCCGACCAAGGGTCGAAACATCTCCACTTAAACTGCAGAACGCAATCAAAAATGATCTCTCAACTATGAGCATACCAGCTTTGTTTCAGTCGATCACCAACAATGACGGATAGAGTATGACATTACAATTACAGAGAGCGTTCAAATCTTCGGCTCGTTGACAAAAATCAATTACATTAAAGTCAATCAAATTATATATATTTGAAAATGCCTTGACACTCGCTCGGAACCATCTACGTTTAATGTGGATGTTAAGTGCTCGTAGTCGGAGACTTATGAACGAAACACAATTCGCAGAGCAAAGATAAGAAATTGAAATTATATATGCATAAGCGATTGTTAGCGTTTCGACACTTTTGAAAAGTAAACGAAACTGAAAATAAATTATCGATAATCAATAATTACATGTGGTTTGTGTCTTTGCTTGAAAATTGAATTTAAAAAATTTTTAATTTTGATAATTTCGAAATTATAAATAAATTAAACTACGTAAAGGTATTAAAAGTTCGAAAGTGTTTAAACGAAAAAGTAATGCAACAATCAGTATAATTAATTGATTCGGTTGCGTTGACGCGAAAAAATATATAATTATTTATAATCGTTATTTCGAATTATTTACTAAATATTTCAACGCTGCACAGAAAATAGCAAAACAAAAAAAAACAAAAAAAGAGAGAAGAAAACCGTTACGAAAGCGTTTTTGAATTGATTCTCGAATTTTCGTAATTTATTATTTTTTGTTACCCTTCAGCGTTCTCTTCTCGCGCTGATTGAATCCCACTCAGCTTGTTTTCGAAATAAAATTTCTTATAAATACAAATTACGCCAATATTTTATTACTAAAGCACAAACACTTGTTATTGCCTTCTCACTGACTCATTGCGCTACGTTTCTCGCTCCATCTCCATGAATTTTTTGTTGGCAGATTTTCAAAATATATATATATATATATATATATATATTTAACTAGCTGCCAAAATCTCTCTTCTTCTATATAACTGTTCATATCTCTCTGTCTCTTTTTCTATATTACTATCTTCTCACTAGTTGTTTTTTTTGTTTTTAACATTACATGACTGAATTCTCTCTTTTATCCTCTCTCCCTCTCTCTCTCTCTCTCTCATTTGTTCTCTTTACCAACCCTTAATTTAATAAGCATGCGTTTCACAAACTTATGTCATATAATTAGAAAAAATATATGTATTTTTTTTTTTTTTTTTTTTATTTTGGAGAGAAAAAATCTCAAAAGAATATTTCTTCGATTTTTTATAAAATCCCTCAAAATACTTTTAGTTAATTTTAAAAATGAATAACTAAAAGCTACTTGAAAATATTTTTTTATAATAATTTAAT